AGGGTGGTGGTACCGGAGAATCCCCAGCTGCGGATCTGTAGTGTCGCTCAAGAGGTGCGATACTGCGGGTTAGTGTAAGGTGCCTATATGGGCTTCCAGTATCGGACCAAGATATTTGCGCTAAGGATGGTGCAGATTCCAGACGACCGTCCCACCTGTGTGGACGACGGGCCCACAGAAGCCGCAATGCCGACCCGACTGTCCTCCGCCCATCCCATGGCCTGCTACTGCTTCGACCTTTGTCCACGAACCAGCACAGCACGCTTTTGGGCGTCGACGCGAGGCGTCTCCATCCAGGACGCCCACAGCCCATGGACAGCCTATTTTGGCGCCGTGTATGGCGAGGAGGTGCCCCTCCCGTTCCCGCTCTCCAACATCACATTTTTCTACCACAACAGCATGCTGTGGCGCCAGCTCTTTCCCTCGGTGCACAATCCCTTTCGGTCTTGCGACACGCCCGTGCCTTCAGAACGGCATGTCACACCTCTGTGCGGCAAGCAAGAGTGCCGTCCTTGGATGGCGCCGTTGCGGGTGCCGGACCAGAGCAGCACGCCTGGCGCGTGGCGTGCCGAGAACCTCATCTCCGGGATGAGTATGAGTGAGAGGAAATCGTGGGGATGGCCCGGCTTTGCTGGCCTGGCGGGGTCGCGGCTCGCATCTCCACAGCTCTTCCAGACTTGGCGGAGGCACGGAGTGCCGACGGTCGACGGCTGGGTGGAGGTGACGCGTACCAATATCTTCAATCGGGGCATGTATCCAATCATGCTCGAGGAGGGCGTCGCTCCTGACGTGGCAAAAACGATTAATTTCATCAGCGGCGAGCGCGAGGGTCCAGGTGCTCACGGAGCCTACCCCAGCTGCTACTTCAACGCAGCCGTCGGCACCGGCATCTGGACCTACATCGGCCAGCCTCGAAATCACACTAGGATGAACCTGCGCGACAACCAGAACTGGGACGTGATTACGAGTTGGGAACCGTGCAGGAAGGCGCTCGTCGGCATTGGCACGTGCCCCCCGCGGGAGGTCATCCGTGCCGGCTGGCGCGCCAGCAGACCATGCCAATGCAACGAGAGCTGGAGCACTCTCAACTGCCATGGGCACGGCAAGACGTCCAGAGAAGTGCCCAGAGAAGTGCAGCGCGCCCGCTGGGGGCCGTGGTTTGATCCATTCCAAGTATGGCCGCTGTCGCATGCGGGCGATCGCCCGAACTCTCCATCAGCGAGTCTTCGCGCGTGGCCGGGGATGGAGCGACAGCTGGGGCTCGCCATGGAGACGCTCAACACGACCACTGCCGTATCAGCTGCGCAGCGGGCAACTTGGCTGCCGACGCCCGCTCCGTGCTCGCTCTACAACGCCGCTCAGAAAGGCCGCTCGCCGCGCCTGTGCACGGCCGCCTTCCACGGCACCTCTGTGCAGTATCTCCAGCTGGCGGCGCGCGATGAGCACGGCATCTGCGGGCGTCTTCGGGCGATCAATGACGGCTCGAACACCATGCGCAGCTTCGTCTTTGCCTTCGTTAGCGAGCCTGTGCAGCGGTTCCTCACGCAAGCGAGGCAGACCGCTCAGAGCAGGTGCCACGGCAGCACCTGCGTCACCAAACACGTCGCGGCAGCTATCAAGGACTTTGTGACGGGATGTGGTCGGAATGCGACCCACCAACCCCCGCAGGTGGCACTCCTCACCGCTGCCTTTTCCAACCGAGTGCTCCGTCGAAAGTGCACTGGGACGGGAGGGAAGAGTCACGCGTGCAAGACTGACGCCGCCGTGGACTTTGTTGGCCGGTTTGAGAGCTTTCACGCCGACTGGGGCAGAATCCGTCACTTTGTGAAGAATTGGCCGATGGTTGTGAAGATGCGACAAACTTCAACACCAATACAGACACCGCTGGAAGCGCCCCTCCACCTTGCCCTGTGCAGGACGATGATGCCCGATTATGCCTGCTTTGGCTCCATCGTCGCCACGGCATCGATGGAGAGCTCTGAGTCACCACTCGTGACCGTGCCTCGCACAGCGATCGTGTTGGAGGCTGATGCCTGCCACATCGCGCAGAAACCGTTGCACAGCTCTTCGATTTCTGCGGCCGGCAAAGGTCGCATCTGCTGCAGGTCGTCAGCAGGAGCAGACGCCTGCCGCTTCCGCGCGGCGCCTTGGTTGCGGCCAGGCTCCGTCTGAGGGCTAGCTTGGTTCTCGGAGTAAGCGGCGGCAGCGGTGGTTGAGCGCGTGGTGCGCCGCATCAGAGACCGCTTTTGGCTCGTCAGCGCTGCCTGTCTGTGTCGATGGCGCCGCGGCTGGCTGTAAAAAGCCCAAGCGACATAAAGAAAGAGGCCCCCTCCCTTGGGTTGCCTGTTTTCTTTCTTTCTTTTTCCGCTCTCAAAAGAGGAAGAGGGGGCAGAGGAACGAGAGAAGAATATAGGGTGGATAAAGCGCCTGTTCACGGCATGGAGGGTGAGCTACACCGAACGTACCGAGCGAAGAGCCGAACGGAAGGAGGACGGGGAAGATGACTCAGAGGAGGACGAACCAGTGGAAATTCAGTTGTCAGATGTCACGATGCATCCAAAGGGGACCCCAGCGCCGGCATCATCCGTAGAGGCACGAGTCTTCGAAGAGAGAGTGGACCTGAGCAACAACATGACCTGTAGGCAAATGATCGGAGTGGGAGTCAGAAATGTGGTCCTTGCGCGAGGGGAGCTCGATAGACTCGAGGGGCCAGGATATGCAGCAAGGAGGGCGGAGCTGCGCCGAAAGGCGAAAGAAGCCGAGAGAACAAGGGACCGGCAGGCGGCGGCGGCGCAGGACGAGGCAGAAGAGAACGACGCGACAGAGGAGGTGACAAGGGAGAGAACGACGAGAATGGGACGGCCGCGAGGTGGCATGAAGGTTGCAGCGAGAATCGGCGAGAGACTGCGAAAAGAGATAGGAAGAGGCAGACTCCCTAGGGTGGGCGACGGCTAGCGCATCACACTCCTCTCCTTAAAATCCCTGTGTGGTGGCGGCGTGCCGTCCTCCCATCCCTCCCTTGGGTTGTCTGTTTTCTTTCTTTCTTTCTTTTTAGAGGGGAAGAAAAAAGAACATAGAGAGTATAAGGGGATTTTAAAAACAAGAACCGAAAAGAACAAGGAAAAGAAATCGAAAGTTTTTTGGCACTCCAATCTGACAGCATAAAGCGCCTGTTCACGGCATGGAGGGTGAGCCACACCGAACGTACCGAGCGAAGGGCCGAGCGGAAGGAGGACGGGGAAGATGACTCAGAGGAGGACGAACCAGTGGAAATTCAGTTGTCAGATGTCACGATGCACCCGAAGGGGACCCCAGCGCCGGCATCATCCGTAGAGGCACGAGTGTTCGAAGAGAGAGTGGACCTGAGCAACAACATGACGTGTAGGCAAATGATCGGAGTGGGAGTCAGAAATGTGGTCCTTGCGCGAGGGGAGCTCGATAGACTCGAGGGGCCGGAATACGCCGCGAGGAGGACGGAGTTGCGCAAGGCGAAAGAAGCCGCGAGAACAAGGGACCGGCAGGCGGCGGCGTCACAGGACGAGGCAGAAGAGAACGACGCGACAGAGGAGGAAGTGACAAGGGAGAGACCGACGAGAGTGGGACGGCCGCGAGGTGGCATGAAGGTTGCAGCCGGACTCAGGGCCGGTGCTTTGACGCAGTATATTGTACTTCGAGGTAGTATGAACTCAGAACGGCCCCCCGAGAGCGCCTCTTCGACGCCCACGGGTCCCAGGGGGTCGGAGGGGTTGCGAGAGGGCCTTGGCTATTTTTTGTTTGAATCCCGGAGGCCGTTCGAACATGTAACGTGCGTTCCACGTGCCCGTCCCCAGCAAGGACAACATGCTAGCCCAGCAGGCCGCTCCCACCGCCGCCCGCGGCGTAGGCAAGGCGGCAAAGGGTGGCAAGGGCGGCGGCAAGGGCGGTGGCAAGGGTTGTGGCCGTGTGGCGCACCAGACGCAGACCCACTTTGCGCCGCCGCCCTCAACGCCCGATACTCGGTTGAGCCGGCGGAGCGACGGCGGCAGAGTTGCGGCCGCTGGCGACCTCACACGGCGTCGAGCGCCGTAGAGACGGCCCCGAGAGCCGCCGCCAGGTGTGCCACGACCGCCGCCACGAGGCTCGTGGCGATGGATGCGCCAGACCCGCTTTGCGCCGCCGCCCTCAACGCCCGATACTCGATCAGAGCCGGCGGAGCGACGACGGCGGAGTTGCGGCCGCCGGCGACCTTCCCCTCGAGCACGCCGCCGACCCGTCGACAAGCACGTGCGGACTGCCATCGAGAAGAAGGAGACGGAGGGCGGCGCATCCGGCCCGCGGGCGCAGCGGGCGCGGGTCCGGGCGCGGGCGGGCGCGCGGGAACCCCGCCAGCGGAGGCGACAATGCCCCTGGCGGCTCTGCAGGCGGCGCGCGGCGCGCCCCTCGCCGGTCTCCCGCACGCTCCTGAGGGCCGAGAGGGCCGAGAGGCGGGGTCGGTGACCCGGGGGCATGGGCGGTGCGGCCCGCGCCGCGCGCGGGCGCGTGACAGCCCGTGAGTGCCGAGATCGGGTCCGTACTTCGACGTAGTATGGGCCCCCGGGGGCCATCTACAGCAGCGGCGAAGTGAGCGTGTTTGTGGTGTTGGTGTGGCGTCTGAGCTTGGATCTGTGACTAAAGCCGGTTACCACTGATGGATCCCCACCCGAATAACACACAGTGAGCGCCCCAGCGCTTCACTACGCCCTCCGCGCGAAATCGCTAGTGGTGCTTTGTGGTAGTATATTGTACTTTTGAGTAGTATGGGTACGGTTCCCGAGACCGCAGCGAGAAGCGGCGAGAGACTGCGAAAAGAGATACGAAGAGGCAGACTCCCCAGGGTGGGCGACGGCTAGCGCACCACACTCCTCTCCTTAAAATCCCTGTGTGGTGGCGGCGTGCCGTTCTCCCATCCCTCCCTTGGGTTGTGTCTGTGTTCTTTCTTTCTTTCTGACAGCTCGCCTGCCTTGCCCTGGCTTTGGTCTGTGCGCACGCCCGCCACCGGGCTTCAAGTATGCGTACCCCTGCGCAGCGGCTCGCTCACGTAAAGCAGCTCGCGGACGAGTGGCCCGCGGCGACCTTCGGCCGGCTCGAGGCCCTGCTCGACGCCCTCCTCGACGAGGCGAGCGCGCACGGAGAATTGTACTCTATCGCCCACATGCTGCGCCGCTTCCACTGGGGCATCGTCGGCAACGACGCGTGCGTCCTCGCGCCCAAGAAGTACGGCGCATCGCGGCCGCGTACTGGTGGAGGGGCGGCCCAGGGCAGAGCGTCTCGCAGTGTGGAGGGGCGAGGTGGAGGAGGGCATGGCGGCCGAGAAGGATGAGGCGGCGGCGGCCGAGGCGAGGGGTGGGCTCCGCTTCACTGTGGGCGAGCGCGTGGAAGTCACGTACGTGAGGCCGCCGTCGCGACGGTTGGGGCTCGCCGCCGAGAATAGACGGCGCGCTGAGGAGTGGTCGAGCGGGCGCGTGACGCAGCTCTGGCCGCCCCAGGGCGTCCGCCAGCGGACGCAGCAGGCCTACCAGGTGCTGCTCTCCAACGGCCTGTACTTTTACGTGCAGTCCGATCGGCCCGGCCGCATCCGCCGCGACGAGTCGTGGGCGGGCCGCTTCGCGGCGGCGGAAGCCGAGGGGGGGAGCCTCTGCCGCGGCAAGGGCTTTGCCGTGCTCACGGCGCAGGAGGTGGAGGCGCTGCTCTCGGACGACGGGCGGGAGCTGCTGCACGATGCGGCGGAGGCATTCGGCTTGCCTCTCGGCGCGGGCTGCAGCGCCTTTGACCTGCTCTGCGGCTGCGTTGTCCGCCGGCGGGCGGCGGTGCTCCTTCCCGACGCGCCCCTCTACGCGCCGGCTCGCATCGTCAAGGTCCACCCGCCCCTCTACGCGCCCGGGAGCGGGGTCGGCGCGGTCCACCCGCCCGGGAGCGGGGTCGGCGCGCCGGCGCAGCAGTGGCTGCTGGATCTGACCGCGCTCGTCGATGGCGCCGAGCGGGACGAGCCACGGACGCCGCTCGGCTACCTCTCCAACTCAACGGGCCGCGTCGGAGACGAGGAGGGGGCGGTCGCGGCCCGCGTCGGCGGTGGAGCTCGGGAGGGCCCTCGCCTTTGGGCTCGGGAGGGCCCGCCTCGCCAAGCTCGTCTGGGCAGCGGCGCGCGACCGTTCCGGCGTCGCCGCCATCAGCAAGTGGCGCGCGCTCCTGCTCGAGGCGCGCGTGCACGAGCACGAGCCCGCGGCGGGCGAGGGGGCGCTCGCCACCATCGGCGAGTACAGCCGCCACGCCGCCTTTTACACGCGGCTCAACGACGCGCGGGGCGCTCTGTTTGACTTCTTGAACGAGCCTTCGGAGGACGAGTATGTCACGCACATCGCGGCCATCGGCAGGGCGTTCGACCAGTTCCGCTCGATTGCTGAGGCATGGTTCCGCTGGCTGCTCGGCCTCGAGCAGCGGCGAGCGGGGTACCCGGCACTGCGCGAGTTCATCGCTCACGAGAGTGGGCTGTCGCACAGCGCGCACATCGCTCGTGACGAGGCGGGCCGCTTCGGCCTTCCCAGGGCGGCGCTCGCCACGCTGCAGGCGCCCGCGCGCGTACTGGTGGAGGATGGCCTGATGGCCGACCCGGACGATCCGACTCGCGAGGCGTGCTCCACCTGCGCGCGAGCTCCGAGCGAGTGCACGAGATGGGTCCTGCGCGCGAGCTCCGAGCGAGTGCACGAGATGGGTCCAGCTCAAACCGTGCTCACATTGGCTGTGCAGCGCGTGCATCGAGACTTGGGAACGCGCTGTGGAGAGATCTAGAGACGGCGCCGACGGGGTGCAGCTCGACGACGAGGTAGTGGCGTCTCTGGCGGTATGCCCGGTGTGCCGTGGGGCGATCGTCGCTCGGCGCATTGGGCGTATGGGCGGGCAGTCCACTGTGGGAGAGGAGAGCGACTCGGGTGAAGAGATGTAGGGTGATTCGGCTGTCCCTGTTGGGCGTGACGCGCGCGGACAGATAGCAGATTTTAGCGAGCCGGACTCTTTGGGGCGCGTCTGATATAACTGCACCCCTCTGGCACACCTGTGTGTGAACCTTGTACGCGGAGATATAAAGCCGGAGTCGACGGGGGTGTACTTCAGAGCTGCTCAAGGAGCATCTCCGGTCTGCGCGACACACCGACCATATCCGTACTTCACAAAAAACAATCACCGACAATTCTCTGACCCCCGGTATCAACGAGACCACTCTCACAAGAGCAGTCCCGAACTGTAATCGCGTTCCGCTGAGCTCTCGCTGTGACTGACATTTTCTCCGGTCGCGTTTGGGGAGCCCTTCGACTCGATCCAGTGCCAGAGAGCAGAGTGCGTGTGCCGACGCCGCCAGGCCCCCGCACCGACGCGTGCACAGGTGCGAGGGGCGAACCCGATCGGCACGCGTCCGGGGCCCCTCTTCGTGCCTCCTCCCCGAGCTGTCCCCGAGCCTCTGCGCGTCGTAAGCTGCTCAGCGACTCACTCGTCGCTCGTCCATGTCCATGCACTCATTCAACCCAACAGCGCTCACTGGACGATGGTGAGATCGTCCGAGGGCACCGTCAGCCTGCGCATCGACGGCTGCAGCACCGTCATAACGACGTTGCCGCCCTCGGCGCTCGAAGTGACGACGCCGACAACGCCGCTCGACGTGCGCACCGTCTTGCAGAGCAGCGGCGTCGGGTGCTGGACGCCCTCAAGCAGCGCGACCACGCGGACGAAGTCGGTGGCGTTCGAGATGTGCAGCTTGGCTGACCAGGCCCCAGTGCCCTCTGCATCGAAGACGACTGTGATGCACTGCGGCACGGTTGAGTGAACCGACACGAAAAGGGGATTCGTGATCACCGGCAGCGTCTTTGCGAGCGGGCTCGCTTGGAACTCGACGATGAAGGGTTCAGCCTGTACCGTCACCTCCGCCTCGATGGCGAACTGTGAGTTGCCAATCGAAGGTGTGATCGTGCATCGCGCAGGGATCGTGGCGGAGGTTGCCTTCTGCAACAGCTCTGCGAAACGGTGGCACAGCTCTTCGCATTCGTCGGCCAAACGGTGGCACAGCTCTTCGCATTCGTCGGCCCGCCAAGGTCGAGGCTGCGTCTGGTCTGGAGCATGCTGCAGGGCCTGCCGCTTCCGCGAAAGAGCCGCGGTGCCTTGTTGGTTGCGGCCAGGCGCCGTCTGAGGGCTACCTTGGTTCTCGGAGGCAGCGACGGCAGCGGTGGTTGAGCGCGTGGTGCGCCGCATCAGAGAGCTTTTGGCTCGTCAGCGCTGCCTGTCTCTGTGTCGATGGCGCCGCTCTGGCTGCGCGCGCGGTGAGGGTAAAAAGAAACGCGCGGGCGCGCAGCGATAGACGGCTGCGCGCCTCCCCACGCCTCCGCTGCCGTCCAGAGCTGCCCCAGGCGTGCCTCCGAGCCACACGGGTCGGCTGCGGCAGCCGGAGGCGGCTCGCGCGACGCGCGGCGAGGGCAGAGCCCTCCCTCAGTCGGCTGCCGACAGCGCGAGCGGCGCCGATGTGAGACGGCCCCCTTCGGGCCTTCTCGAGTCGCCGCCGAGCTCACCGCGCGTGCCGCGAGAGCGGCCTGACTCGCTGCCGCCTCGGCGGCCCGTCGCGCGCGCTCTCGCTGCCGCCTGCCACTCCTCTCGCGCCTCCCGCCTCCCGACGCGGCACCGCCGCCTCTAGGTGGCTGACTCGCCGCCCGGGCCGGACTCGCGGAGCCGACCAACACGGACGAGTCCGTCCGTATGCCCTCGCCAAAGCGACGCGCTTCGCTGTGCTGTCGACTGGCCCTCGCCGGTGGCATCATCCCACGCGCGCCTCTCCGTTGCTCGGCGTGACGCCCGCTTGAGCGGCGCGCGATTATCGGCCTGTGCCCTCTCGTTCCACGCCGTAGCGCGGTGCGGCCCGCGCCCTTGGAGCGCGCGCGCGAGGGTGGCCCACACCGGCACCCCTATTCGTGAGCCAGGGAGACCTCACGCTCAGACCACGGCGCGCTGAGCTGTGGCGAGGGGCACCGTCGTGGGTCTCCAAGCGTACCGCGAGATCGCGAGGCATATGAAGGGTACTTCTGGGAATGTGTAAGGCTAGTACTCCACTCGGGCGCACAAAACTCGCCAGACGGGGAACTTTTGCGAGTGGGCAGGGAACTGCAGGGCCAGGGGGAGAGGGGGAGGGAGGCCCAGCGAGGGTTCTGCGGCTGGATCCTACTGCGTGGCTGGACTAAAGACGCACTAAACCTCGCTAAATCTGGATGTAAAGTCGCAGTGAACTCGCGCTAAATTTGCGCTAAAGTTGCGCTAAAGTTGCGCTAAAGTTGCGCTAAAGTTGCGCTAAATTTGCGCTAAAGATGCAGTAGATATGTATGTATGTAGAAAGATGAACAACAGTCAGGCTCGGACTGGACACCAACGTGACCGTGCCTCGCACATGGATCGTGTGGGAGGCTGATTGCTGCCACATCGCGCTGAAACCGTGGCATAGCTTTTCGATTTCTCCGGCCGTCAAAGGTCGAATCTGCTGCAGGTCGTCAGCAGGATAGGGCGCCTGCCGCTTGCGAGGCTCGGGCGCACCTGCCTTGGCGTTTTGGTTCTGGCGACGCTCGGTCTGAGGGTCTCGGTTGTCGGAGCGATCGGCGGCGCCGGTGCGAGAGCGCGTGGAGGGCGCCATCAGAGCCCGCGTTTGGCTTTGCTGCGCTGCCTGTCTGTGTCGATTGGCGCGGCGGTGCTGGCTGCGCGGGGGCCACACACAACAAAGATCGCGTCGGAGAGGTTGAAAAAGACTCTTCGCAGTCGCAACAACACGCTCTCCTTCCCCGCTGCTGCCGATTCGACCTGCACGCCCCCACCTGGCTTTTTCTCTGCGAGTTTTTCTCGTTTTCTCCCTTTAGCGGGAAGTCCGGCGGGCACCGCACCAACTGCCAACCATATGCAGCCCTCTGTCGCTTCCGCTCCTCTTCCTCGGCACCCTGCAGGTCGTGCCCCGCGATGAACGTCTGGTCGGGATCGTGCTCCGCGACGACCACGGCGCGATCACGCCCATCTCGCGCTCGGATGCTCTGGCTCTCATAGCTCGCGGCGCAAAGAAGATGTGCCGGCGGTATGTGGCTGGGCTGCTCTTTGATGTCGCCCACGACGGCTTCGACCCGTCGAGCTGGAAGCATGTGACTCGGCATGCCCGCCACCAGGGTATGCAGACAGGCTCCGCCCGAGGGACTCTGCTACCGTCTGCAGCCCAACCAACGACGGGAAGGCCGCCTCTGTCGTGTGTGTCATCTTTCCCAGCGGCAGCGCGCCGTCTTCCACCAGGCCCGCGCGCGGCGCGTGTTCCCTGCTCACAGGAGTGAGCCTCCGCCCGCCAGAAGCCCTCCACCACCCACCACTCACCGACGCGCTCCTCTCTGCGCGCGCTCGCAGGCTCAATGCGGACGTCCGTGGGGTGAGCTCGCCAACGGACTGATGGTGGGCAGCGGGTCGCATTGGTCCTTTGATACCTGCTCGAGCGCAAGCACAAACAGGGCACGAGCGACGAGCAGTCGCAGCAGCTCGAGAATGTCTTTGCCTGCACGAGCATCTTCCGAGGTGCGCAACGCGCCGCGCGGCCCCACACACCAGTCCGACACGTCCGACAAGAGCGGCACGTCCGAGCCCGACTCGTCCGAGTCGGGCGACATGACCGGCGGGGAGGACGGCGACACGAGCGCCGAGGAGGAGGAGGGGGAGGAGGAGGAGGAGGAGGAGGCGGCGGACCAGCTCACGTACGGCAAGGCGGAGGTGCTCCTCGACGAAAAGCTCGCCGCGCTCAAGAACGAGGTCTTCACAAAGATCAACCAGTCCGCTGCCGCCGTCATCGCCGAGGTCAAAAAGATCGCCAAGGCGGAGCCGGCCGCCAGCGGCCAGTCGCCCGCGACCAACAAGGCGACGACGCCGGCGCAGAAGCGCCCGGCCGCGCCCGTCGCCGCGACGTCCAGCGGCGCCCGCCCGGTGCGCGCCCGCACGCCCGCGCGCAAGCCCGAGTGAGAGCGTGTTCCAGTCATAGTGCGCCGCCGCCCGCGCACTCGCTCGCACGGCTTCCGTTCCGTCGTCGTGTCCAGCTCCTCTTCCTCGAGTAGTGGCGTCGCCGATGACGACGAGCCGCTCGCGAGCGACTCCGAGTCGCTGCTTGACCAGGCCATAGCGGCGCACGCGGCGCACGTGTAGATTTATAGGTGTGTGTGTGGACCGGCGCCGAGTATCTTTCCTTCCGCCATTTCACATGCTGTGAGCTTTGTTGCGTGAAACACCAACCCATCCCCTGTGGGCAGGTGGAAGTGTCGGAGCCGGTTGACCCCGCAACCGGTCTGACAATGGAGCAGACCTACTTGCATTTCGGTGGAGGGCCGGACCCACAGGACGATTGCTGCAGCACGTAGACGGGAGGAGACTGGGAGTCTGGGAGGAAAGAGGCTTGATTGTGTAGCGCAGCTCCATCTCTCCACCCCCGGAAAAAAAACGGCTCTCGAGTATCGTCTGTGGGAGCTTTCCTAGCAAGCCTCTGTTTCTTTATCTCCGCCGTGTCACGCGTAGTGTGTGACCTTCGGCGCGCGCCAGCTCACCTGCTTTGAAGCGATCCCGCCCCCTTAAGGGGGCGGGGCCCTCGAGGGCCTCAACTCTAGTAAGAAAAAAGAATTTTGCGAGCTCGTACGCCACCAATTCTGACAGCTCGCCCGCCTTGCCCTGGCTTTGGTGGGCACGCGTACCTGGCTTCAAGAGATGCGTACCCATGCGCAGCGGCTCGCTCACGTAGCGCAGCTCGCGAACGAGTGGCCCGAGGCGACCTTCGGCCGGCTCGAGGCCCTGCTCGACGCCCTCCTCGACGAGGCGAGCGCGCACGGAGACTTGTACTCTATCGCCCACATGCTGCGCCGCTACCACTGGGGCGTCGTCGGCAACGACGCGTGCGTCCTCGCGCCCAAGAAGTACGGCGCGCTCGGCACGGTCATGGGCGAGCGGATGCGGGGCGTGATGTTCAAGTACGGGTTCGGCTGGGGGGCGGGCGACGTGCGGATCGACCAGCTGCTCTCCGTCGCGCAGGTTTTCGACGTCGCGCGCCGGAAGCT